TAATCTTGTGAATGGCCACTCCTCCTAAACCGTTGCCACAAAGGTCTCTTGTGACGAAGCATCCTCGATATGTTAGAGTTGAGGGGTCACAGTATACCTTCTTTTCAACAGTATTGTCAGCCGTTTCGCTTAGGACTCGTTGAGCGAAAGTGTCCCACATATCTTGGCTGCTTCGTTCCTTATGGGATTTTCAATGTTGCGTTTTTTATTGGCGACTGACCCAGTTTCCCGAAATTTAGCTACAAGTTCTAGAACATATTTTCGATGCACGTTACTGGTCTCATGTCGCTCATTAAATATTTCTGCTGTTCTATTAGCGCACTGATTATTTCCGAAAAATATTTCGATAATTTCAACTCTTTCTGCTGTGGAATATACCATGGTTAATTTAAGTAATAAAGCGTTACAAGTTATTTTAGCAACAAAGTTTGGTCAAATCAATCGCAAACCATGTACTAAATTCCTATTTAAAATAAGTACGAGATATTTCCTTATCTTTCTTCAAGAAATAACTTTTTTTGCCACAAAAAAAAAACGCTCCAATAGCTATTTTCAACAACAAAAAAATGATAAACAAACCATGGGTAAATTCTTTTAGTCAAATTTCTTCTGAAAGTAGTACAAACTAATCTGATGTACCTATTAAAGTCTACTTTAAGCTTTAAATCAACAAATCTTCAAAACTACTGAACTGAAACTGATGTATTTTACATCATTATAAAGGGAATTGAAAGACCTTTATAATAAGGTATCACTCGACCCCCCTTTCCATTTAAGATTTTAGGGTTGGTGTCACCCCCGCCCAGGGGGCTGCACGTGTTAACGTGATTTTTTGCCATACTTGTGTCCCCCTCGAAAACAAAATCGACGGGTCTGAGCGTTTTTCCAAAAAAAACTGAGCTGCCAGTAAATGCGTCTGTTTCGTTTTCGATGAGTATATTTCTTTCTTAGCGACTCAGGATTGTGTTGAAGTCTTTTGGACACTAATGTTATAATATTTTCTTAACGGCTATCTCAGAAATTTCCTCATAAAATATCGTTACCCGCAACATTAGTTTGCGAAATAATACGGTTTTGAGGTCTACCCATAGGCAACCAGTGATGTTGTTTCTGTAGGTTCCTTGATATTCGTGTTATCATTTTCCTGTTGAAGCGTTGGTTATCGGCCATTCATTTGGTTTCCAGTTTTTGGGATATTTGGCCCCAATCAGCAGTTTATGAAGTAGCACCTTTTTTTGTATATATACCTTACGATTAGTTGTTTTGGTTGTTGTTTGGGTGCTACTCTCCCTGATTTAACCTCTTCAGCGTGGGAAGGTATTGAGGAAAATCAAAATCTGCACTCCTACAGCTTTGTAGCTGTTTTGTAGCCGATTTTATTGGAAGCCACCGCTTTCTCTTGACAATCCCAGACATTGAACATTCGATTGACATGGGGAGTAGTGCGGAAAGATTACTTTGAAAATTGTAAACATTGTGACGATGAGGGCGATGTTCTTAATCATTTAAACGAATTTATGTAGATAGATTGAATACTTGATAGAACTGGAATAGATGCTCGGGTACACAGTTGACTATGTTGTCAAACACATAGCAAGAGGGAAGGGGTTGAAAAAGTGAGACAGATTGCTGTTGAGTTAGATGTTGATAATAAAAATAATGGAACTAATGACATGACGTTGATCAAATGACTGACCATTCTTTTCTAGATTGCATTGCGTGCTACGATATGATATCTCACATCACCCAACCAACTAGGATAACTTTAACCACGGCAACCTCCATAGATGTCATTTGTACAACAAATAACTTAGCTGTATCATTAATTTCAACTAGCTCTGTACCTGTTCCGAATTTGTCAGATCATAATGTAGTCAGATGTGACTTCAACATCACACGGCCTAAGAATTTTCAAAAGACTGTCAAATATAGAGATTTTATATACTGTTGTAAAGATCAGTTTTTGGTGGATTTGTATAAAATCCCATGGGACGATATATATTACATCACTAACTTAGAGGATAAAGCTACGTTTTTTTCTAATCATATTTTGGATTTGTCCATGCTCCTGTTGTTTCATCACGTATTACTAAACCTTATGCTCCATGGCTCACAGGTGGCATAAAATGTTTGATCTCCGAGAGAAATAAAGCCTTTAGAAAATATCAGATTTTAAAAAGTCCAGCTAGTCTCGAATATTACCAGAAATTAAGAAATGATGTCATTTCCGCTATTAGGCGGGAGAAAGCAGCATATCTAAGCTTCAATGAACAACTAAATAGTAACAAGCATCTCTGGAAAGCTGTACATTCATTGAAACTCAAAACTAATGTAGATAGATCTTTACCTACACAGTTGAAGAATGCCGATGAAGTAAACAATTATTTTTCTTCCGTTTTCACGCCTTCGGGCAATTGCAAGGATCTAGTTGATGAATTTAATAGTACCAAAATTAATGAAAGTGCTAGATTTGAATTTAGTTTTGCTACCCCACAAAATGTGCTAGACATTATTCTGTCCCTAAAATCTAATGCAGCAGGTTCGGATGGTATAACAGTCTCAATGCTGAAGCTTTGCTTGCCTCGAGTATTACTACCCCTGATGCATTTATTGAACTGTTGCCTGGAGGCTGGGTATTTCCCTGATGCTTGGAAACTATCTCTTGTCAAGCCCTTGCCTAAATGTAAAAATCCAAAATGTCTCTCAGACTTAAGACCTATAACTTTGATTCCTGTTATATCGAAGATATTGGAGAAATTGATTAAACATCAGGTTTATCATTATTTCTCTAATAATGATTTCTTTCCCAAGTGTCAATCTGGTTTCCGCAGTGGTTTTAGTACAACTTCAGCTTTAGCAAGGGTTTTAGATGACATCATTGCTTCGATTGATAAGGGAGATGCTTCAGCACTTGTATCATTAGATTATTCTAAGGCGTTCGATAAAATAGATCATGAGCTTTTATGTGCTAAATTGAAGTTTTTTGGTTTTTCAGACATACCTCTAATGTTTTTTATAACATATCTTTCAAATCGTAAACAAGTAGTAGAGATAGACAACACTATATCTAGTCCGATTGATATAACATCAGGTGTCCCTCAGGGTTCAGTTTTAGGACCCTTGTTGTACTTAATTTATACTATAGACTTGGGTAGCTCTGTGAAAAACTCTTCTGTGATGTGCTATGCCGATGATACACAGATATATAAGAGCTTTAATAGTAACACTTTGCATACTTCAATCAATGAGCTTAATGATGATTTGGAGGCAATAGTAGGATACTCAAATGGTAACAATCTTAAGCTCAATAAGGATAAGTGCTCAGTGATGCTTTTTTGTCCTGCTGTCAAACGTAACACTATATTGTATTCTCTTGATGTAAAAATTGACAAGGAGCGTCTAGCTGTCGTAAATACTACAAAAAAATTAGGGTTGATTATTGATTATACTTTACGGTTTAAGGAGCATGTTTCGTCTATCTTAAAAAAATGTTATGCAACGTTGAAGTGTTTTTATGTCAATCGCTCTATTTTGAATTTTAAAGTTAGAAAAAAGTTATGTGAGGCTATTATATGTCCAAGCTTATTTTACTGTAGCACTGTGTTCTATCATTGTCTTGATTCTATCACAAAAGCAAGACTCCAAAAACTCCAAAATACTTGTGGTCGATTTGTATTTAATCTCAAGAAGTATGATCATGTTTCCTTAAAGAGATTTCAGCTTGGTTGGATGTGTATAGAAAATGCTTGCAAGTACCATATAGCAGTGTTTACACATAAGATCATATCTTCTAGATCCCCCTTGTATCTTTATGAGAAATTTGTTTTCAGACGAAATAATTCAGACATTGATTTCAGACACAAAAAAAGACTAGAGATCCCTATGTATAAAACAACTTTATTTCGTAGTTCATACACTTACAATGCTATCCTAATTTATAACGAATTAGATGACAATATAAAGGATTGGCCAGTAAACAGATTTCGTAAGCATGTGAAACAGATTTATTTGTCATTGTAGTAATTGTGTGGAAAAGTTAGTTTTTAATTCTTACATTTAATTTTATTTTACGTAATATATGTGTGAATATATGTATGCTAGGAAGCTATCAAGCTCGTTGTTTTGAAGCGTCTTTTGCTTGTCAAAGTTTCCTTTGATTGAGTGTTTCAATTTAGTATTTGGGTAGGTTAAGTAGAGTAGCCAAGAGCTAGACTTCGCCTACGTAGAGGTCACATTATGTTGTAGTGTATATATGGGTGATTCTCCATAACCAGTTATATTTGAAGGTTTTATTTGGAAAAAATTATAACTTGACAAAAAGGTCCCTGACTTATGGATACAGTTTGAATATTGAATGAAACACTTTCTGCACAGAGGAACACATATATTTTCTTCATTTTATAAATTCAGAACATCATTTATGGAATACTGTTTACAGAGGAATGACCTCCAAGGACAGAGGGAATGATCATATGTGAAAATACTCAACAATGTACTACCTACTTATATCAAAATCAACAAACTTTTTGATAGAATTTGAAAAGTCGAACTTAAAAAAACATTCATAAGAATATAACGTACAAATTATTTATCCCAACTTACGAAAATGGCTTCAAGCCAGAGGAAAGACGAGTAAATAAGGGAACAATAGAAAACCTGATCGCTTACTCTAAATTATAACTACTAATAAATGAAAAATGCTAAGTATTAACTGGGATGCATTCAAACCTTTTCGAACACGTCCACATCGTTATGGAATTTATAATATGTTTTATTTCCTTTGACAAAAATATTCGGTGGTGGTAGAATCGCAAGTATCTGATCATAACCGACAAAGGACGTATCATTATCATTAGCTCTAAATGCTTGCACATTCTGGAACTTGCACACCTTCAAAAACATCACCAAAACTTCGTCATCATCAAGTACGTTTTGGACAACTGCTGCATAACGATAACCTGTTAGTTTTGTTTTATACTCAACAAGCACATAAGTATCTTTTATAATGTTACTTGGCACCAAATCTTGTTGATATATTTTTGAGCTTGGGCCGGCTTCATCATCAGAGTAGACGTCATTGTAATGAATTCTTTGCATCTTCTTTTTATGACAAGGTTACTTAAGGGCAAATCATCATCAGAGTCGCTGCTAACTTCTGGCTCTATCTGGGTGTATCCATTGTCTTCATCAGAGTAATCTAAGATTCCACAAAAATAACTCGTACTTTGAACATCAAATAAGCTCAACCTGAAAAATCTTAACAGTCCTGCAGTGTAATCCTCAACTTTGACTTGATGCACCTGCATTGTGCCGACAAAAGGCTTTATGCTGTCCTTCTTGATTAAATCACTGATTTTATTTATATCTGCATCGTCAATTGAAAAGTAGGTTATGTTTTTGATATTATTCTGCAGACTATTAAGAAGGATTTCATATGAACTTATATCTTTTCCTTCAGCCACAAGCCTATCAGCGGTTCGCTTTGTGACTCCACCAACACCATCTGGAGCACCCTTGCCGTGTCCAGACTCCCAATAATTCCAAGAGCACTCCTTGATTTTTGGATATAAATGGTGGAGTTTATTCGCCAGGAAATAAAACATAGTTTTATTCCGATACTGCGTGGCAGGGCTATCGCTGACAAAGATAAGTGTATCTGCAACATGAACTTCTGAAATGTATGACAAGATCGGTTGAAGGTGTGCCCAGATTGCTGATACATCATGCTTCAGACTCTGGGACAGTGTGCAAAATGACTTCGAGTGAACAATGCCATTGGACTTGAAATAGATAACTACAGTATGGAGGCAAATCTGTTGGCGCGAACCACCAAAGTGAAATGCTTGAGTTTCCTCCGCATGTTTTAATGAATAGTTCTCGCTAAAATCCACGTGGATCATGACTTCATTCGGCATCAAACTTTCCTTTTTCTTAGAAATTTGGTTATACTGATGCAGAGATCTACCTTTATGTTTCAAGAAGTTTATGATTGATCCTTCAAACTCAAAAATCATTTCGTTCAAAGGCATGATAAGCTTTTGCTTGATGGTTTTAGTAATACTCTTTTGCTTCTGGTACTTATCAAAATAAGACTCTTTTCTCGTAGTCCATTTGAAAAAATGTCCGACTTCAGTGCTTTGATATGGTTTATAAGAAATCGTATTATCTTTGCATTTTAGGCATTCGCGAAGTAAACATTTTTCAGTTTTTTGTGCACAACAAAATGTTCTGGTGACCTCGGAAACATTACCTTCTGTAAGGACTTTCATCCTATTTAAAGCTTGAACTAATAAAGCCATATTAAAGCAACATGTGCATCCACACGTGTCGCGAGATGTTACTTTTCGTGGGACAATCCAAAATGGTCGATTCTTACACCAAAATGAGTAACTAACTGGCATATTAGGATAACGAATAGAAAACTCTTTATGCAAATTACGCATTGTGTTACATAGATATCGCTTTTGTTTTATCACCTTGTTTCTCTTGCAGTAGTCTCTTTTTTCTGGACATAGTTTGCTATGAAGATCATTGTCTAAAAACCTCCAAATTGCATTAATTTTCTGGGGATCAGATCGCCTCTTTGTAGAGTACTGTAAAATATCATTTTCTTTACCGTCTAAAATATTGCTCCCATGCAGAAGGGCTTTTACACATTTTTTTACACGATATTTTTTTACTATCTCTCCACTTACAACATTTCTAAAGATTTGCTTTTGCTTCGTGCTATTTAGGTTTTCATAATTTTGTTTTAATTGGTCGGACATTACTTCAGCAAAAAGCAATTTTTTTGCGACTATTTTTTTATCTTCATCCAGTATTTGTATGGCCCTGCCTCTGGGTGAGGATGGATCATTTTTATTTAATTTTATGTTTTTCAGCCTATGATACCTTTGCTTATATTTTTGTACTTTAAGCTGCAGCTTCTTGATTAATTCGTGTTTGTATTTGTTTTCACGGCTTCTCCTTTTCCTATTTGTTGCGTACCTTCTTTTTCCCGAAACCCTTTGGTGATTTTCAGGCGTAGTAGGTAGACTTTCTCGTTCTTCTTCTGACAACGGTGGCGTGTCTTCATGCATTCTACGTACTAGACGTTCATTTTCCATTCTTATCTGTCTTTTCTTGTTTCTGTACTTCTGAGAATATTCTCTCCATTGTTTTCGTTTTCTTCTCTTGTCCCTTTCACTTAGGTCTTCAATGGGTTTTATGACTTCTTTTTCCTTTTTTCTCAAGTATTGGGCGATTTCTTTTTGCCTGAGTTGCTCTCTTCCGACAGGATCCTGTTTTAAGCAGTAATACCTCCTTCTTTCTGCTTCCCGTTTTTTTCTAAGCCTTTCCTCTTTTGTTTGTGGAGTTGTTTGCCTAGTCCTAGCCATTTTTTGTACCTATAAAGTTCAATCGCTGGTTACTTATCAATTTTATCAAGACACAATCATTCCTCTGCTCTCACCGTCATTCCTCTGGGCTCTTGAGAGCCAGAGGATTGACGCCAGAGGAATGACGGTTCCGCTAAACTTGCACTGATTGGTAGCATAGATATATAATATAACCTCACTTTCTACACAATTTTGTAACGATATTAGAAACAGACGTGTAAGCGATAAGAACAAATGCGACAAATATATATTTATATGATAAATCACTTACCAGTGGACTGATTAGTCGTTTGTGACACTTGATTTTTTTGCTAAGATTGTACTAAAACCTACAAATGGGAATCAATATTCGCGTCAAAACGTCATAAAAGTACAACTAAGATGTCTTCCGCTAATATTAGCAGTGGAAATAGACATGTACTGCCATATTTGAGTGAACAGTTGAACAAACCGCTTGTGGCAGAGGACTGATCTGAAAGTATGGTAACAAAGAAAATGCATTTGATACAAAACATATTTTTTCTTTTTTTATTTCACGGGCCCAGTTTTCATGCTGTAGATGATCTGTTCTTAGCAAGGTAAAGTATTCTCAACGTTATTTAGAAAATAGATCTTGTTTGAATGTGTTAAACATAGAAAATATGCCTGGTAACAGCCAGAGGATATGACTTCTCAGTCATAAAACAATAAAAAAAAATTATAATTTCAGTTTTAAAGAAAATTTTTTTGTGCTTTGATATTTTCTATCTGTAAGATCCCAGTTTCAACAGTGATCGCTTATTATTCTTAACGTATCATTATTTTATCAACAGAAACGCAGAAAAATAGTATTTTCCGAGAATCACCCGTATAATGTGCCTAATAAAGACATTTTATTATTATTATTATTATACATATTAGTATTTGGTGCCATTTTATATAGGTTCGGATATTTTCTTACATAACTCCTAAGAGAAAGCAGCAATCTGCCCGTATCTTCTTATTAACAGTAAGTAAATTGATGTTTGTTAAACAATAAGCATTTACAGGGTTTGTCCGGAAAGTAATAGGCGAGTGGAAGTGTGCCAAGAAAATTTGAACATGTGTGAAAGTGACCCCCAATTTTTGAATAACGTAATCACAGGTGACGAGTCGTGGATCTTTGAGTATGATCCCGAGACAAAGGGGCAATCTTCCGAGTGGCACACGACGGCGTCTCCTCTCCAAAAAAAGGGAAGAATGAGCAAATCCAAAGTGAAAACGATGCTCAATGTCTTTTTTGACATCAAAAGCATCGTCCACCATGAATTTGTTCCTCCTGGACAAACCGTCAACGCCAAGTTTTACGTGGAATTGCTCAGGAGACTCAAACGAAGGGTCAGTCGGGTCCGACAAGACATCGCAGCCGACTGGAAGTTGCACCACGACAACGCCCCGGCTCACACCGCCTTTCTTGTGAACAGCTACCTGACCAAGGCCGGCATCCCAACGCTTCCGCAGCCGCCCTACAGCCCAGATGTGGCTCCCCCGGACTTTTTTTGTTTCCTCGCATGAAAAGGCCGATGAAAGGCAAGCATTTTGAGATGACAAAGGGGATCCAAGCAGCATGCACCGCGGCTCTCAAGGCTATTCCGGAGAATGCCTTCAGTGACGCCTTCAATGCTTGGAAATCGCGCTGGCAGCGATGCAGAAGGAGCCTATTTTGAAAGTTTTTAAAGAATTGTAACGATTGGCTCAATATTTTTTTTTAAATCGACTCAGTCCTATTACTTTCCGGACAAGCTCTGTATTTATTTTCAATAAATGCTGTGTACTGGCGTCATGTCAATCTACATCTATCTGTATCAGGTTTGATCCATGTTGCGAGTAGGCCACAAATCCTGTTTGATTGGTGGTCTATGAAGCTTTGTTGTTTGTATTTACATAAATCGTATGATTCGCTAGTTCAAGGGACATCTTGAAAGAAAGACGACCTCTCATTGGTCCAAATTGTGTCAAAGGCGCAAATGTTGATTCTCGCGGGTCAATAGCAAAATCGGGTTTTAGACTTTGGAACATAGAATTTCTTGGCTGACGTATTAGAAGATACAACAATTTTTACCATTTCAGAAATAAATTTCCTAATATTTCTTAACATGCTTTTATTAGCTTGGCCTGTAAGTAAGGATACAGGGTGTTCCTTAATGATATGCGAATATTTAAGGGTGTGAATCTACATGAAAAATTAATGTTAGTTTGCTTTATAAACTCTGGTCCAAAAATGTTTCTTTACAAAACTCGGGGTGTTGAAGTTTTAGGACAAAAATGGAAATTAATTAATATTTTCAGAACCGCTTCAGATATACCACTGATATTTAGTACGTAGTGAAAATTAATAAAGCTGCAAATTTTTCAATGCAAAAATAATTTTTAGCTTTAACAGTGGCGTGCGTACGGGTATTGACTTTTAAGAAAAAAATGGTACGCCAATGGTTTTTTGCTAAATAAAAATTATTTTTGAATTTAATGCCACTACAGTGTTAATGGGACTTGTGTACACTAGTGTCTTAAGATAGCCCCACAAAATGAAATCTAAACTGTTGAGGTCTGGGGACCTTGGTGGCCATTTTTGGGGCCCACCGCGGCCAATCCAACGATTTGGATAAACAGTTTGGAAATAATTATGCACCGCTACACTGAAATGCGCTGGTGTACCATCATGCATGTACCACATATTGTTTCTTATTACTAACATAATCAAGCAGCAAAGGAAATGTTGTTAATGAAAATTGAGGTAAGTCTGTCCATCAAGTCGTCCCGGCAAGAAGAATGGGCCAATGAAGTGGTTGCCAATAATTCCTGCCCATACGTTAACCGAAAATTGGTGTTGGAAATGGGTTTCGGTTACGGCATAGGGATTTTCTTCTGCCCACAAATGATTATTGTGAAAATTGTGAATGTCATTTCGAGAAAAATTAGCTTCGATCGTGAACAGAATCATTGATTCAAATTGCGGATTTTGTGTAAGTTTTGGAAGATACCACTGACAAAACGTCACACGCCTTGGAAAATCAATGGGAAGTAATGCCTGTACTCTTAAAATATGGTGAGGATATAACAAAAAATCCACTAAAATTCTCCAAACAATTTGATGGCAAATATTTGTGTCTAGCGATCTTCCTTGTACTCGTTTCAGGATGTTCTTTGACTTCGTGCAGCACTGCTTCCTCAATTTCAGGTGTTCTCATACTTAGAGGTTTACCTTCAGATGTTCCTTTTCGAACAGAACCAGTTTCAACAAGACGACGATGCATATTAGAAAAGGTTCGATTATCTGCAAAGCACGATCGGGATATCTCTGGTGATAAATCCGTCTGGCTTGCTCACCATTACCGTCGGCAAGGCCTTATACGTAATGCATTTCCGCCATTTCTGCATTTGACTAATTCACCATTATTAACAAGATTGTAAAAACTAAATAATGAAAAAGATGTCACAGCGAACAGATTTAAATAACAGAGACTTGTCAGATGTCAACAGCCAGTGACGTATTCCAGAGCAACTAGATATTTATTGCTAAATTGCATTCTTCAATTATTACATTAATTTTCTCGGACAACTGAACGGTTTTTATTTTTTTACTCAAAAATGGCGCATCCAAGGAAAACAATTCAAGAGAGATCATTTGTTTTAAATTGAACGGGAAATTCAAATATAATTTTTATTTGGTAAGCTAAAAATTATTTTTGCATTGAAACATATGCAACTTATTAACTTTCACTACGTACTAAATATCAGTGAAATATCTAGAGCGGTTGTGAAAATATTAATTGATTTCCATTTTTTTCTTGAAACTTCAATACCCCGAGTTTTTGTAAGGAAACAGTTTTGGACCACAGGTTATAAAGCAAACTAACATTAATTTTGATTAGCATTACTTACTTACCTTTTAGCGATATTTTGTAATATGTTCAGAAATGGTGATTTTATTCTGATGAATAAAAAAGGATTCCAGAAAAAATGAGGGTTTCCGTATGAAATTTTCTTTGGCCTAAATTTTAGGTTAGGAACAAGATATCGAGATACGGTTTTCGGGAGCTTGTTTAGACATCAGTTAGCTAGTTTTTCATAAAATAAATTATACCAGTGCATTTAATTTTATTGAGAAAATTAACCATTTCTGTCGGAATGTCGAAAAAAGCCCTCTAGTGGCCACATGTGAAACTAACCAAACTTCAAATATTATAACATTTGTAGAATAGCTCTTTTCAACGAGCCCAAGTTTGTTAAAATCGGCTTAGCCGTTTCGAAGATACAGGGTATTTTTTACGTAAACCTTTGAATACCCCGTACCTCTTTATTTTTAGATTTCAGCAAAAATCGTCAAACAAAAAACGTTCATATCCTCTACTTTAAAGATCAGGTATTTTTTGTTAGGTTAATATAACGGATTTCACAGAAACATCACTTCTTTAGATTCTTAATTGCAGTTACGCCTAGTGGCCATTTCAGAAACTTGAAAATCTCTCAGGTTTTCCTCTTGTCCGTTTTAGGCCCGTATCGTCAGTCGTCCCTAGAATTGTAGGGCGCGTTTATGGCCTCCTTGATTGTCATACTCCTTTCTCTCCTTCAAAAAATTCTAGATTACACTTGTCCCGTGTCAGCGTCAGCGCTCTCCTATTATGAAGATATGTTTTCTTTTTAAATTGTAGGTAATTTGAGGCTGATAAAACATGATATAACACACAATTTGATGCAAATAGATGTTTGTGCCATAACCTCAAAATAGAGCGCTGACACGGAGAAGTATAAAACTATGACAATCAAGGAGGCCATAAAGGCGCCCTACAATTGTAGGGACCACTGACGATACGGGCCTTAGTAAGAACTTTTTTGCCGCAAGCCTCTACGATGGATATATTCCCAGATATAGTTCCTCACATTTGTAGTAGGTCACCCTGTACATTTTTTGCAGTTCTAATAAACTAATAATTTTTTGGTATGCCCAGTCTGATACAATAAAAATAATGAACTTCAATATATAATACAAGTTTTTTAATCAGAAGCGTAAAATAACGAACAAACATCCAAATCAAATGCATATTTTCCTAAACAACTCTAAACTTGCTTTTTGTGATATACAGCAGACGCTCGATAACGTAAACACGGGATAATGAAAACTTGCGCTAATGTAAACACAAACTTCGTTCTATAGGATCAAACGGAACGCGCGATAACGTAAACAATGTGTACGCTCGATAACGTAAACAACTCTCGGCGCACGGAAACAGCGCGACGGTAAAATGCTGAAGCCTCGATGATTTATGTCGGGCGTCGGGGAGTCCCCGATTTATGATGTAGAGTGTAGGGGATTCACCTCTGCGATAAAATACGACAAACTCGGTCAGTCGTATGATCATTTAGAATACGTTTATACGTATGTATGTATTTCATTTTTGAACTTAAGTGAATACATTGCACACGTTAATATATTTTACGACTATGGCATCCACATCCTATAAAAGAAAGTGTTTAAAGTTGAGTGAGAAAGTGAAAATCATAGTCGAAGTTGCACTAGGTGCGGGAGTGGCACAGTTAGCAAAAAAATGTGGAGTATCGAAAGCAACAATCTGTAAAATTAAGCGTATGAAAACTCAAATTTTACAAAGAACGTGCAATACATTTGGAGGTTCGGGAAAAAGAAAAACTTAAAAAAATGCGAAGGCACATAAAATGGAAAATTCCCTGTTTAAGTGGTTTTTAAAACAACGGGAAAATCATGTCCCAGTTAGTGGCGAAGTACTTAAACAGAGAGCGAGACTGTTAAATTAAAAACTGAAAGAAACTGAAAATTTCGTAGCTAGTGATGGCTGGCCACAACGATTCAAAACAAGATATGGAATTCGACTGCTGTCTATATCTGGTGAAAAATTATCAGCACAACCACAATTAGTGCAACCATTCAAAGAAAAATTGTTGAAAACAATTACCGAGCTAGATTTAAGAATGGAACAAATTTACAACGCAGATGAAAGTGGCCTTTATTGGAAAATGTTACCAGAGAAAACCTATGCTGCATCATTTGAAAAATCTGCCCCGGGAAGAAAGCCGGAGAAACAACGAATAACGTTTCTAGCCTGCACTAATGCTAATGGTTCACACAAAATAAAGCCACTGGTAATTAGGAAAGCAAAAAATCCGCGCTCATTTAAAAATGTTAATATCCCTGTTGATTATGACTGTTCAAAAACCGCTTGAATGACTAGCAGTATATTCCTCAAATGGTTCCACAGGTGCTTTGTCCCTCAGGTATTACAATCAATTATCACAAATGCTCTATTCATAATTTGAAGATGTGTTTTCAATTTGTAGGTAAAAGGTTTCCTAAAACAACAGAAGCTTCCAATAAAAGCGTTGTTACTATTGGATAATGCACCAAGTCATCCTCCCGAGCAACAACTGAGGAGCAGGGATGGGTCAATTTTCGTCATGTACATGCCGCCCAACGTAACACCGTTAATTCAACCGATGGACCAGAATATAATAAGACTCACCAAACTATACTATAGGAAGTTTCTACCTTCGTCTGTCTTATCAAAGAATCCTGAAAACTTATCTGAGGCTTTAAAAAAGTAACATTACGAGAAGCTGTTTTAGATTTACATATGGCCTGGAATGAACTTAACCAGCAAACTATTCAAAAATGTTGGAACAATCTCTCTTTATCAATAATGAAGATGATGAAGAAGACGATGTCCCCTTAAGCGTAATTAGAGAACGTTTGCGATGCATTAATGATAATGTTATTAGTGTGTCATTGGATGTTGTTGATTTAATGAAAACAGTGAATCCCAACATCGTTTGTACTCCGGCTGATATTAATTTATGGAACGAAGATAAGCAGACGAATGATGCTGATAAGGAGGAGGATATGGACAGTGAGGATGATGAGAACGATCCCATTGAAGTCAGAAGTGTAGTGACTGATGCGAAAGCTATACAAGTTTTTAACCAAGCTTTAGCTTGGGCTGAAAGAAAAGAAGTTTCATACACGGATATTTTAGTTCTTCGTAAATTACGGGCGCAGGCATTGGAAGACAATGCTACGCGCAAATTTACGCAGACAAAAATTGTTAATTATTTTTCTTCTAATTAAAAAAATACTTATCGCTGTTAGAATATTTGTTTATTTTGTTATAAATAGTATGTATTAAACGTTTCTTTAATAAATCAAATATTATATAAATCACGTTCGCTAATGTAAACATTTCGATAATGTGAACCACACTTGGATCAAATTAGTTTACATTATCGAGCGTCTGCTGTACCTTTATACAGTTATGGAATTTGTAAATGTGTATCAGTTTATCGTAGTTAGAACAACATCTCGGCTCTTTTTGCTTGATCTAGAAAAGTTCAGCAATTATTTTCCACAAGCTCAGAAGCAAGCGCGTTACAAATTCCAAGAGAAAGCCAGCCAGCTGATCAAGTCCTCGTCTGGTCTGGTCAAACCGCGGAAACGGCACCGGCAGCACGTGGCAACACCGCCAGGCCGCTGGCCCGTCCATCCTTCCTATAAAAAATAACGCAACGATATACATCTGCCAACAATTTCACAGTTTCACAACGATCCCGTGTCCCTATTCGATTTTCATTGACATATTCACCTGACCACAACGGAAACAATCACGAGTTCGGAAGGTTTGCCACGGTAACTATATAGGGAAAGGCGTTATGAGCACAGATGGAAACACGTGAGTGTGATTATTATGGGGCACCGGCGCTCTGTGTCGGCACCAGTGGCGTCAAGTGGGAAGAGTTTAATGACATGTTTGAGGAGCAATCATTCTAGCTGATGTGTGCTTTTTAATGTACGAAATGTTGCAAAGTGGTCACAACGGTGTATCCAGGATTTGTGTATGGGGGAGGGGGGGCTTCACACTGGTCAAAAAACTTCATTTTTTATAAAGTTTTTAAAAAAAAATGACCGGATGACCCTTTTCTTCCTCAAGGAGCGGAGGGGTTATTTTTTCATTTTGTGCTTACAGTGATACACAATCCATCAGATGAAAATTGGACAGCGTATAAACAGTTAAGAAATTATTCACTTGCTTCAATCCGGCGTGAGAAAAAGGCATATTTATCTCGCTTTGATAATCTCAATTCTAGAAAAGCTTGGGATCAGCTGAGAGCAATGAATATTTGTCCCCAGAAACACATTGAAATACCCTATGACCTGTTAGACCCTAATGAAGTCAATAACCACTTCATGTTAAATTACCAAAATCTTAATATCAATTCCCGTTTGATTGACAGTACAGTAGAATTTTATGAGAACAGCTTTAACAGCCAAGATGTAACTCCATTTACATTTAGAATGATGACCGCTGAAGAAATTTTGGACATACAGTATATTCAGATAAGAGATAGACCGGACATAAACAAGACCACGTGATCATCGAACGCTGTAACATTCGGCAGGGACGTATTAAGAGTCACGCAGTACATATTTTAGATAGTAGATGCTGCTTTGCGTAACTTTGTAGTAAATTAGCACAATTCGATGTGTATACGATTGGTGATGGATATAGGATCATGTGGGGGTGGGGTAAGAAATATATAATGATGTAAATATACATAAGGGTTTCAAAATTTTCGCTTCGATTTCCAGCTTCGGATGCCGCCTGATGTTTGGTGAAATACAGTCGAATATAATCTCAAAATGGCGTTTAAATTAGCCTAAATTAAAAATAATCGTATATCTCTTAAAATTGCTTTTAGAATATTGATTAGTATATTTTTTGATTTCTAGGTAAATATGTAACCAAATTAAAACGTTCAAAACGTAAAAAAATGTGCATGGTTGAACATTGTCAGAAAGTAGATTCTTGAATAGGTTTTGCCAAAATGGGTTCAAAAATGTCAATAATTAATTAAAAAATACAGTAGCTTTATAATTACTTATAACTTACCGAATTTGATGAACGACATCTTTTATTGGAAAGATGAGCTTGATCAGCTTTCATCATCGCTACTGCCTGAAGCACCAACGTCAATAATGAATGGCTCGACTTGTTCCTCTAAAATATTGTCCAGTTCCCACATTCTCATTTCAACTTTGTCTTTCACGTGCTTAATACAGTTTTCCCATTTTTGCGCTGTTATTAATTCTAGTGCTTCTTTGAAAAGTCCTTTGAGGTCACAAAATTTAAAAGTTGTATTGTATTAATGTATAATTTTTAACCTCTGCCCATATGAGCTCAATGGGATTGAGCTCGCAATGGTATGGAGGTAAACGGAGCACAGTTTTATTTTGACTTGCTGCCATTTCGTCAATGGCGTATTTTTGATATTCCGCCTTGTGATCCTTGACAATTCTTAATAATTGTACTTTCAGCATTGCTTCTTCAAAGTTGATATTTTTCGAGCGGAGCCAATTTTGAACATCAACTTTCCTTGAAGCCGTTGTTGGGACCTTCTCCATTCTTCGAGAATGATAAGGCGCATTATCCAACACAATTACTGCGTTTTCCTCTAAGTTCGGTAAAATTTTGAAAACCACTGTTCAAACGATTCGCCATTCATTTCCTCGTGGTAATCTCCAGTTTTCTTAGACTCAATGCACCACAGACCGTCAACAACAAATCCATCCTCACTGCCAATATGGCAGATAATGAGCCTTTTCCCTTTACCTGGAAATCGAAGTACTAACTGGTGTAGATTTATTTCAATAAGCGAACCTTTTTCAAATGTTTTCATCACATTCAGCGAAAAAAACATTGAGACATGAGTATCAGATTGCTATAATTGGGATTATTTAGTCATATTGAAAGAAAGAATATTGAACGTCGTATGATTACTCAGCGCTTCACAATTTAATTTAAAGTTATAAACCTTTAAAAAATGAATGATCAGGAACCTGAAATACGAGCAAATATTAATATTAACAAATTATAACTTTATAAAGCTTAAAGTATGAATTAAAATGATTAGAAATATTAGGAACGGTACACAATATAAAACTTAGTAACTTTTTTTATGTTTATAATATTCGACATATTTTAAGATTATATTAAAAAATTATTGAAATATCGAAAACACATAAAAACATGGCTTAAAAAAGTTCTAACAAATGAAAATGACAATAAAACATCCACGCATTTTATCGAAAGTTATACAAGTTTTGTTACTTGTAATATGTTTTATCTGCCCCCTGGAATTAATGTTTAGAACCTTGTTCCCAAGGTTTGAAAAACATCCGATTGTTGTCGATTACTCGTATTTATCTGCTGGATTTTTTAATCCGGTGGACAGTCCATCTAGAAAGGCCCTCCTGGATGAAGTTACAGAATCAGCAACCCATACTTTACTTGTAGTGTGTCCTGCGTTTACCCACGTTCATCAAGGTAATAAATCTTCCTGTTTTGATTTCTATATTTCCCAATTTTTGTTAAATAATCCCTCCTCCATAGCACAATTTCTTCTCTATCCAGTAGTAAACTATTACGACCCCGTTTTTTTCATTTGAAATTTAAATGCTTCAGTAACGCATGGAAAGTTGATCGTTTGAAATTTGGCAACGTTGTATCTCCATTTACCTCCTGCAGTACTTTATCTATAGTAGGTATTTCATTCCTAAAGAAGAATTCATGCACTTTCCTCCTAATCGCATGCTTATCAGCTTCATCCAATGATTTAACAATACTTTTGCGATGTTTACTGGTCATTGGCTCAGAAAAGGTGCGATTTTTTTTGTATTGTCTTAACACATTAAACACTGATGCGCGACACACCCCAACTTTGTGAGAAACCTTCACAACAATTTCTTTGATGGTTGATGCCTCGTTCTCCTCGCGCTCGATCTTATATATATTCAAAATGACCTCTTTCATTTCTGCACTCAGGTGTCTTTTTTTAGAGCGTTTCCTAGGTGGACTACAGGGGTTTACAACTTCATCGGCAGTATCTGTACTACTGGGCATTTTGCGCAAGCAGTTGATAACAATAACAATCAATAACAAGGTATAACAATAACAACGACAAACTCAACAACTTAATAAGATAACAAACGAAAACGTCCAAAGAAATATCAAATTGCAATGATGCACACGACATACGTAACACGTCTGAACCTGAATGTGACTCTGCCTTGATACGACTGCTCTGCCGCTCGGCATAGGCATTTAATTGCGAATTGACAATGAGGGCTCCTGTTTTACGTCGAGACGGCGGCGTTAGCGTGAAAATCACCCGAACCTTTTGTTTACAGCCGGTCTATCTCTTATCTGAATATACTGTAGTTACCTCTATCAAGTCACCTGCTACAGGGAGTGATGAAATTAATTTGAACATGCTAGGGTACTGCTTACCAGAAATTTTATTGTATTTAACACATATTGTTAATATATGCCTTGAGACCGGGACTTTTCCTGATGCTTGGAAGGAAGCTATTATCATCCCTTTAGCCAAAGTCAATAATCCAACCACTCATAATCATTTGCGGCCTGTTAGTTTGCTGTGCTTTTGTTCGAAGGTATTAGAGAAAGCAGTGTACATTCAACTAGTGGAATATTTAGAGCAAAATAACTTGTTTTCTCCCCATCAATCAGGATTTCGTGCTACTTCAGTTTTGCTCCATCTAACTGACAACATCGTAGGTACTTAGACAGACATATTAATACCATATTAGTGATGATTGATTTCTCAAAAGCCTTTGATACAGTTAATCACAAAATCATGTTGAGCAAGCTGAAGTACATTGGATTATCTGATATATCGCTAAGATTTTCCAAAGCTACTTGGCAGAAAGAAAACAATTAGTTAAGACGGTTAGGGGCGTCTCTTCTAGTACTGTGGTTTCGTCTGGCGTTCCGCAGGGGTCAGTTCTGGGACCCCTGCTATATTTAATTTACACTATAGACTTAGATTCATGTGTGGAATTTTGTTCTATACAAACGTATGCTGATGACACAATTATCATTTCACTTCACATATGCTCAGTTAAATGAAGTGTCGGTTAAAATTAATACTGACCTAACAAATATTAAGGATTTTTGTAAAAAGCACTGTCTCAGGATCAATCCTGAAAAGAGTTCAAGTATGCTTTTTTCTCCGAAACACATGTATAATAACATAAAGGAAGCAATTGTACTCATTATAAATAACGAGCGCATCCCCATGGTAGAACATTCTAAAAACCTGGGTGTTATCTTGGACTCTAACTTGAAGTTTGATAGACACATCGGTTACCTGTCTCAAAAAACATATGCCAAATTAAAACTTTTATATTCCAACCGTTTCATTTTAATCTTTAAGACTAGGAAAAAATTAGTTGAAAGCTTGATCCTGTCATCTTTGCAACATTCTCTGATTTTATTCTATTCTGATTTGGATTCGTCGGATCGGTATAGGTTACAAAAAATTCAAAACGGCTGCTGCAGGTTTGTGTTTGGACTTCGTAAATATAGTCATGTCTCTTCGAAGATTAAAGATTTAAATTGGTTAAAGATGGAATTACAGTTTGTTTATGCTATGAAGGTGTTTGTCCATAAGTAGTTCACACAAAAAACCACCGTACATTTTAGAAAAGCTAGTACCAAGAGGCAACATTAATCAGAGAAATCTCAGACACAACCTAAATTTTGCGATGCCAGTCCACTATACAGCCCTTTTCCAGAAAAGCTTCACATTTCATGCTGCCAAGTTATACAACTCTACAGATGAAATATGTCGCAGTAAAACAATAGTGCCTTTCAGGAGACTCGTTAAGAAGCTGATGGGGTATTAATAGTTCAAGTGTGCATTTGTTCTTTTTCTTATTATTACTATTGTTTGTTTGTGTATCGAGTTTAACTGTGTTACTCTTTCGTACACAGTGAGGTTAAGTGTAAGAGTAGCCATTTGGCTAAACTTCGCCTCACTGATGTATGCTGATTAATAAAGACATTTATTATTATTATTATAATATATTTTATTACCTGGCATAAAATGTTCAGTAATTAAATATCTTCGTGGCATGAATCAGCCTCTTTCAGTCTAAGGCCGTATCGTAAGTCGTCCCTACAATTGTAGGGCGCCTTTATGGCCTTCTTGATTGTCATAGTTTTCTACTTCTCCGTGTCAGAACTCTATTTTGAGGTTATGTCACAAACATCTATTTGCATCAAATTGTGCTTGCTTTTGAGTTATATCATGTTTTATCAGCCTGAAATTTCCTACAATTGTAGGGACGACTGACGATACGGGCCTAATAAAGACTAATGCTTCTATTACAGTTTTTTCACTTCTTCTTATAACCATAAACTTTCACAATTCTGTGCATTTTTTGTTTGATGACATATCTATTTCTTCGTGATAATATCGTGAAAGAAATGTTTTGAATGTATTTATTATCAATTGCATAGAAGATGAAGAGTGGGAGTTTCTGGCGAAGATATAATGAATGCAAGATCTCTCCTTTTCTTCATGAACTGGACCTTTTTTTTCAATTTATTATGGTGGCATTCAGTATTGAGCGTAATGAATACTGTGCAAGTTCAAATGAAAAAGAAAGAAATAGACTTGATGATGGCTCAAAGGTGCATTTCAGCAGCATTAAAAAAATTAAAAGATTTGAGGAGCGAAAGCACATACGATAATTTCGTTCTGAAGGCTAAGAATAATGGAAGAGATGGAATGGGAAATCCGGGTTTTCCCATTGTCAGAAAGTGGAAAATCAAAAAATTTACGACGAAAAAGCTGCTGACTCACCACTGGAAACACACGAAAAACATCGAATAAATTACTACGAGTTTTGGATTCAATGAGTAACGAATCGCAAGAACGTACTGAAGGATTTCTCTAACCTCTATATCGAAAGATCAGTAGCTAATACACTCAATTTGGATTCTGCGACGATGTTTTTGCTGAACGAAAAGCACGTCGCGGATTCAAATTAGAATAATTCTGTTATTTGTATTGAATAAAAAAATGTTTGATCTCACAGTCTCTACTTGATTCAGGCAATATAGACATATAGTAAAAAAATAGAGGTAACAGTGCGCAGCAGCTGCTATTGTGCATAATAATAATAATTTATTGGTACTATTACACAAAAATGTGTTTGCACAGGTCATTTAAAGTAGAACATAAAAGAGTAAGTAAAAGTAACAAACAATACGAAAATAAGACAAACGTAAAACACAAAGTGGCAATAAAAGGTAAAAAAAAAACTTGATAAAACTATTTAAAATTTAGAGGAACAATAAAATAAGATGGTTAAAAAGTTATGAATACTAATCATTTTTTCATGTTTGTACTCAAATGTCCTTACACACGTCTGGAGAACGATAAAATATAATACAAAAATAACACATAAAAAAACAAACGAAAACAAGTAATAAATAGTCAACAATTATGGAACAAAGTCGGTAAAATCATTATTTAAAAACTCATCTATGCTGTAAAAAGCTTTCGTCACTAAATATCTTTTCACAGTTGCTTTAAAAATGGTTGAGTTGAGTGTTTGACAAAACTTGGGCAGCGCATTAAAAAATTTCACACCGAAATAATTACTACCGTGTCTAGTTTTTGAAAGTCCTTGTGTACTCTGGTATTAATTCATCGTTGAACCTTGTGTTATATTTGTGAATCTCTTTCGGAGTTCTGTAATCATCGTAATTATTTTTAACGTGGATCAGACATTCCAGTATATATATGCATGGCACAGTTAAATTTTTAGGTCGATAAATGTCGTCTTGCAACACTGTCTGAAATATAAGTTTGCTATTATTCTCAAGCATCGTCTCTGAACAGCAAACACCTTCGATACATGACATGAATGTCCCCAAATCAGTATGCAGTATTGCAAGTTAGATTGGAAGTAAGCATATAGGCTGTCATTAAAGTCGATTTGTTACGTAGGTATTTAAACTACGTATCATATATGTTATTTTAGATAACTTCTTTGATAAAGAAGTGATGTGTGATTCCCAAGTTAAGCTTGCATCAATAATCACTCCAAGAAATTTCACGGGCTCTACTAAATCACTTCTATGTGGACGAGTACTGAGTAGAAGAGATTGAGTTTTCGCTATGTTGATGACAAAATGTTGGCATTAAACCAGTTTTGAATGTTGTCAAAATGCTGCTGAGAATCGAGCAATAATGATCAAAGCTACTATTGGAGGATATTGATGTCGTGTCATCCGCAAATAATATATACTGATTGATGCTACAGTTTGGCAGATCATTGATGTAGATCAAAAAAAAGAATCGGTCCCAAGACACTTCCTTGGGGAACTCCGTGCTTAATATGCACATTGTTGGATAAACAATTTTGAAAACTAACATACTGTCTTCTATCTGATAAATAAGACGCAATTAAGGACAGGCTATTATTACTAAAACCATACAGCGACAACTTTTGAATCAAAATGTGATGTTGGACACAATCAAATGCTTTTGTAAGATCATAGAAGTTAGCGAGGGCAAACATGTTATCTTCCAGACATTTGTTGATGAAACTGATAAAATTGTTTATTGCTGCTTTCGTTGATCTGTTGGTACGGTATCCAAACTGGTTGTTACAGAATAAATTGTTAACTTCGAAGTATTCACATATCTGATTCTTCAGAAGAATTTCGAAAATTTTTGCTATAATTGGTATTATAGAGATGGGTCTGAAATTACATGGATCATTCTCACAGCCTTTCTTGAAGAGTGGCACAATCTTTGCAAGTTTTAATAAGGCAGGAAAGACATTATTTTCTATACACATGTTTATCAATTTTGTTATAGGATATACTAACAAGTTATTTAAGGTCTTCATAATTTTAACATCGATGTCATATGGATCTTTACTTTTAGAATTCTTTAAGCTTTTGATTGCGTCTCGAACATCATTGAATGAAACAGTTCGAAAGTTGAAATGTAGTGTATCACTAGTCTGTATAAAATCTTTGAAGTTCGACTGGGTAGCTGGAATTTCAGCGATAATGGTATCAGCAATGCTGACGAAGAAAGAGTTTAAATCATTCGCGCTGAGAGTAGACGAATGTGCTTTTGATGATTGCACACCATTGGATTTAATCACGTTCCACATAGCTGCTTGTTTATCTGACGCTCTACGTATAAATTTATCATGAGCATTTTTTTTCCTAATTCTGATTTCTGATCGGTACTTTGATTTGAAGACATTAATCTCCTTCTTTGATACTACTTGGGGATTATCTTTATTAATTTGTGTTATTAGTTCCAAAGTCTCTCTCATATGAGCCAATTCGTGATCAAACCAGTTGATTTTGTTGCGACAACCCTCTGATACTAACCTAGATTTGATTGGCAAGCACTCAGCGACATTATTTGTTAAGATGTTCATGAATCGTTCGAGTTTTGTGGTCAGTGGTAAACTAATATCAGACAAAAAGATCCAGTCGACTGTTTCAATTTTACTGTATAACTTGAAAAGACCTTCATCAGTGACAGGCCTGTAGTTTATTCTCTTCCTAACAGGTTTTAGAGTTTTCAAATTAAAATGAAATGCAATACCTAAATGGTCAGAAAAACATGTATCAAAGGCTTCTACAACTATGCTTGACATGTTTATATAATTGTAAGCCGCTGTTAATATGTGACATCCTTATTGCCAGCAAAATCTGTAGTTGGAACTTTATCTGAACAATTTAGATGGATTTTACGTTGTCGAAAAATTTTAGATCCGCGTGAATATTGAAACAGTTGAGTTAGATGTATTATTGGCACGTTGAAGCAGCATAAGATTAACTTTTTGCATCAAAGTGGCCGTTCAAGTATTACGTAAGCAGATTTATTACAATTATTTACCCCCCATCCTCCTTGTCAGCAAAAGTAAGCAAAGCTCTTACCCCCTCCTCCCATACTTACGTAAACATTTGTCAATTAAAGTATTGTTTTTTTTAATATTATAATTATAACGTTATAATTATAATTTGAAAAATAAGAAAATAGATTTAGGATAGAGATTATATTTTACTGATACGGTATTCAACATAGAGTAAAGGCCAAAAATATTATACCTTACTAACATAACAAACTTATTTTAAATTTTTGGTACATATATTAAATTCAAATTAAAAGTCTTCAATCCATGAAACCCGAATCCATGATTCTAAGTTTTCGATGACATTGGATTGCTTCGATTGCTGCTTAGTGTTGTGAGTTTGCTCGCTTCATCGGATTTTGGAATGTCTACGTCGTTCTCATCGAGCCATTCAACATCATGGTGCTCTAAATTTTGAATAATGCACATCAGTTCATTAGCACGACGAGGAGCGACTCTTACAGGTCCAACTTTCCTATCGTTGTGCGTGTTTACCTTTTTATGGATTTTTGCGATTCTAATTGAAAAGATCTTCTGAAGATTATTTCGCGATTCTAAAGCCTATTTATGTTGCCTATTGAAAGGCTTCAAAGAACTGATGCAACCGTTTCAAAAATCTCGAATCAGTATTTAGGATGCAGATTTTAACGAACAATGCATCACAGGGATGTCTTTTAAGTTTTGCATATAGAAACAAAGTAGGCCGCGCGGATCGAACGTCAGTACTGAATCTTAAACTGATTCTTAAGTATCACCAAGTCATTAGAAAAATGGAACTCCACCGAGAACATTTTCGCGCCATAATTTATTACAACTTTCAGAGACAATTATCGCAACAAGAATGCGTTGCTGTACAAAATTTATTGGTGGACGTGCCACTGAGTATTTACAGGGTTTCAGCATGATGGCTGCCCAGCGCACTATGCACTCTCAGTGAGAGAGTATCTCGACCAAAACTTTCCAGGCAGATGGATAAGGCGGTCTGGTACAATACCGTGGCCAGCCCGATCACCTGATTTGAATCCTTTAGATTTTTTTACTGGGGGACTGTAAAAGAAAAAGTGTATTTCAAGCCGATTCAAAATGTAACTGAGCTACGGCAAAGACTATTGGAAGCAGCTGAGTTTGTTAATAACCGTGGATTCGCTCGTTAATACCCGATCTTTTTTAAGAAGATGTCGAGCGTGTATTGCGGCTGAAGGAAAACAGTTTGAGCATTTGCTGTAAAGGTAAATCATCATCAGCAGCATTTTGACGCCCACTGTTGTGCAAACAGTTATCCTTAAGCGTCCTTGTGCGTTTTCATAATCGCTGTTTAATTAGGAAATTTTGAAAAATTTTCATCAGTTTTTCTTCAAATAAAAATTGTGCATAGTTAACGAGTAATTTTCTAAGTGTTATACAATTTTGGAATCCTTATTAAATGCGCCAACTTTTAAGGTTACTTGCCAAACTCTCATAGTACATTTTTTCCAGTACAGCCAGTTAAAGTTGAGCAAAGTTTTACTTTGGAATACTTGGTTGGGAAATAAGTGGCAATTTTTTCCTGAACGAGAAAAGTTGGCAGTAAGGTTGAGACACCAGTTTGAAGATGCATTATTCATCATTACATTGTAAAAATAAAATCCAAAAAAAGTTAATATTTGTAGTAACAGGAGTTGACAGACTGCCGTAGGGTGTGAAATTTCTATATCTTATTCAAAGACCTATAATTTTCAAAACACATACATAAAATTTTTTTAATATTTTTCTGATACCTGTTATGACTTTGCCTATCACACGGTTTCGGCTTGACGTCGACTTCTGGGACACCCTGTATATAGTCGTTGATTAGAATAGGTGTTATTTTTGAGTGTATTCGGTAAAGTGTAGTTCAAAACATGACCAGAGGAATTACATTGAATTTGCAAATAAAATAATTGATTATTTTAAATATCGATCAGGCATTAAACAAGCAACCATAGCCAAACAGCTGAATTTAAACCGATCGGTAATTTGCAAAACTATTAAGCTGTTTCGCCTCAGAAAATCCTAAGACTGGTAGACCGCGGAAAACCACACCTAAGATTGATAGGAAAATTAAAACACTTGCTCTTAAAAATCCATTAACTACTGCTGTCGACATAACAGCTCAACTTGAAGAAGTAAATATTGGTGTCCGCACTGTTCGAAGACGTTTGAAGGAGAGTGATTTACCAGCAAGGAGACCATCTAAAAAACCCTTATTTCCAAGAAAAATCGGACCGCCCGTATTCAATTTGTTACGATCATTTGAACTGGTCAGAAACAAGGTGGCATTATGTATATTTTCTGATGAAAGTAAATTTAATGTATACTAAGTGACATATAAATCCGAACATCCAGTTTAAAAAGTATTAGCTGCTTTGTATACGACAATTGCTTTGTATATTATGTTTCTCTATTTTTGCTCGTTGTATTCTCTAATAATAATTGTTAGTATAGTTTTATTAAAGCTGAAATTTTATTTTCATGTGGCTTTGAATTACATTAAGTTATAATAAAACATAAGTGTTTAGTTCACTTTAATAATTTAATAAAATCTTTACAAAAATAAATGTTTCTCCACTTTTGCTCGGTACTGTATCTTCGTTTTCTTGATTTTCTGATGAGTCACTTCAGTTATTTGGTATAATTGATTCAAATGATTTTATTTAAATCGTTGCAACACTGCATAAAAGTTCTTGCCCAATAATGACCCACTCTCAAACTAGGTATTAATACCTACCTAGAGTAGGTTCATTGAAATGTTAAACCAAAAATCTCAAATGTTTTATATTCATTCTGTTTAACAATGGAAATTATGTTACAAGAGTGACAGCTACTCGTACCTATTCATACGTGTTTTTCGCCCACGGACGCTCGAATCTTATTTTCTGCATGATCCGTATAAGCTATCTATAGATCTGAACCAGTTCCAAACCTTGAATTTATACTATTTTATATTTCGGTTCGACGCTAGGCTTATGTTTCACTTCCGAGCAATTACTCATACTCTCCCATTGAAAGTTTGGGACTGTTCTTATTTGCTTGCAGATTTCCGAGTTCTTTGATTCTAATCAAATCGAATATTGAATAATAGTACTTTAGTTTAGTTGAACTACCGAGCTGCTGTGGAACTGTGTACTATCAAAATTAGTAACGTTCTGTCAACAACACGGCCATTCAAAGCCGGTGTCCCTTAGGGTTCGGTTCAGGGACCTCAATGCTAAACGATTCCGAAAAAAAATCGCACACTCAAACAGCAATATCGATATTATTTAATTTACGATGAAATGCTACCGAAGCTTCACGAGTGCATGCATATCGTTTTTCAAGATCCCTTCTTGCTTGAGGCGAAATGTTTAATTTATAAAATTGAAGTTGACGAACTTAGCTATCTGCTCGATTCATTCGGAAAAGCAGTCCATTATAAAAGCAAGCTACACTTGGCTACATCGAGCATATACGTGTGCATTTGAATCTACATACAGTAATGGACAAAAGTATATAGACAAGTATGAATATTTACCATAAATATGTACCTTTAGAAAACGAATTCATACTTCATTGCTCTTAAACAAATGCGTTATTAGTAGAAAAACTAAATTCCTTGTTTTTACATTATCTGCAATTATCTGAATATAAGCACTTTTTTTGAGGGACAAAAATATTAAGACAAATTCTTTTCAACATTAGTTTAGTACAGTTTCGTGTGAGAAGAAGATTAGTTTGTGTTCACCAAGTATTGTGGAATAAGTTGAGTGATTTTAAGACCATGCCGCGTGGTCCAGAAATTTATTTCGATGTGAAAACTAAGATCATTGAGTTATACAAAGATGGTCATCGTCAAATCGACAATGCCAAAAATTTGAATCCGAAGCGTAAAGCAGTTTGGGCAATATTAAACAAATATAAACAAAAAGGCATCTTGGAAGCCTCTAAGAGAAGTGGTCGGCCTAGAAAACTAAATG